TGTTTTATATTAATGGTTCTTGTGGTTCCACAATGCGTTTCTGATACTGTCAACAAAGGGTAACCCGGTTGGTTTACCCAAGCATTCATCATGCAACCTGAAAAAAAGAGAGCGTAAAAGGTTCACAGGGGGTTGAAGTAAAACTTATTTGCTACTGTACATGATGGCATTTAAGTAAAAATAAATACGTCATATAACAATTTTAAATAATGTCTATCAGAAATATGGTAGGTAACACTCGTGATGCACACATTTATTAGTGTCGGCCATTATACACATTTATATAATGATAAATTATAAATTATATATTTATAATAGCATTAAAAATATGTATAATATTTAAAAACAATAATGTAATTGAAGTCATACTTCAAATATGACATGATCGGTTTGTCATTGTAATTAGCATTTAGGACTTGAACCTTTATTTAACAAATGAAGTAATTGCTGATTAATAAATTCTATAATATTCTAATTTCACACAGTGGATTATGTTGAACAGCGCCTAAACAAATATTGTTTTCACAACTTCAATCATCATGTAATAATTGTGTTTGAAGAACTTCATATAATTAAAATTAACATACATTCATTGACTGCTTGTATTCTTAACTTCCCGTAGGGTAGTTATAGTAATGGGCCGAAAATCGAAAATGAAAATTTTTGCATTTCTCGACGTTTGAAGGTTTTTGAACATTTTGGCATACCTCAGAAAAAATGGATGTGTGTATGTGTGTGTGTGTGTGTTTTGTATGTCCGCATTATTTCGTCCACGTTTTTGGGCGCACGGATCAGTCGATATGAATAAATTAAAAAACATTCGATTCCTATTGATAGGGAGATATGCTGATTAGTTTTTCGCAAAGGCAGATCCAGCCGTTACGGTGATACGGAGCCAAGAGTGCAGAAAATACAAATCGAATTTTTGAGAGAACGGAGTATTGGATCTGAATGATCTAAAAAGTATTCAATTTATAATGATTGGAAGAAGAGGTGATTAGTTTTTGGCAAAGACAGGCCCCGCCATTTCGAAGATACAGAGCTAAAGGTGCAAAAATGGCAGTTTTTGAGTGAACTAAGCGTCCGATTTGAATGATCTAAAAAACTTTCTGCTTGTATTGACAAAACAATTGCTTTTGAGGATAAACAATTATTACATTTTTTTTACTTTCTATATTTTGCTCGACAGTAGAGTCTCTTCAATAATTTTTCATCTTTTGCTTGTCAGTACAGTCTTTTTAATAGTTTTCTGTCTTTTGCTCGTCAGCAAAGTCTTTTTTTTTAATTTTGTAACATTTGCTCATCATCAGAAGATGTTTTTTTAAATTATCCATTTTATGCTCGTCAGTACAATCCTTTCATCAACTCTACATTTTGCTTGTCAGTAGAGTCCTTTTTTTAAATATTCTAGCCATTTCTTCTTAGTAGAGTTTTTTATATATAATTTTCTACTCTTTTACTCGTCAGTAGACTCCCTGTTATATTTTTTGTCATTTGCTCGTCAGTAGAGCTCTTTGATTAAATATATCAGTATCAGTATCAGTATCAGTAGAGTCCTTTTTTAAATTTTGTAGCATGTGCTCGTTAGTAGAGTCCTTATTTATTTTTGTACTTTTTGCACTTTTTGCTCGTCAGTAGAGTCCTTTTTTGAATATTTTAGTTCTCTTTTTAATTTTCTCGCTTTTGCTCATCAGTAGAGTCCTTTTTTAATCGAAAATTATTTTTTGATAGTTTAAAAAAACCGCAAAGGAATAAAAATATTCAATAAAAATGTTTTAATAATTAATTAAAGAACTCTATTAACTAGTAAATGCTAGAACATTCAGAAAAGAACGATTAAAAATTCAAAAAATGACCCAGGCTAAGCACAGTCTAAGCGCCACTCTGGTACGAATGTTTACCCAAGTGCGTTTAGACTGTTTATGTAATGGAGCAATTTTCCAATTTTGCGAAAACTATTAAAAAATGTGAAAATGCCGCCAAGCTAAGCACAGTACAAGTGAAAATGTCGCACAGAATTATTTGCAAATGCGTTTAGACTATGACTATACGGGAGCAATTTTTCAATTTAGTGTAAATTAGGCAACTATTTTTCTTTTGAAATTGAATTCGAAATGAAATGACAATTGTTAATGTTCTGGAGATAAATTGATTTATGATTTATGATTTACATTTGATTTGCTCAGATATAACAAGATAGCAAAAATAATGAAAGTTACCGTATTTGTATTAATATATTTAAAAACGTTCAAATTTTCGAGTATTTCATTACGGTACGGGAGTTTTAGCAATTTGCCTTGAGGCACGATGCCATACACCACTAGTTACCTATTGGTTTTCCACTGGCTTCTTCCAAAGCCTTCCACAAATCTGCTGTTCCAGCACTTCGAAATTTATATTTTTGTATATAATTTTTAATGCCCTTAGAATAATCTTCCTCCAAATAATTTCTAAGCATCCGAATTATGGTTGCACCTTTGGAGTAGCTGGAGGCGTTGAACATTGCTTGGGCATCAGAAGTTGAACCAACCTGGGATAAAGGTTATTTAAAAAATTCTGGTAATAGACTTTTTTATGTCTAATTAAATTTAAACATTTAATCGAAACGTAAATTTCTTACTTTTCGAACGATTGGTGCAGCTCCAGGCATCTCATCTGCAGCCATGGCTGCGTAAAAGTGCAGCAAAAATCCGTTCCAAGGGTCAATTTCAGGAAGTATTCGATATTTTCCAAGAACGGAGTAGAATGAAGCAAAGCCTTCGTTTAGCCACAAATCACTCCACCTGTAAAAAAATTTACAATTTGTATGATTTTGTCATACTAAAATATTACAGGCTTATGATAAGCGGTTGTATTATAACAAAAAATCATCAAAGTTTAGACATTTTTAAAAACCTATTTTAGTATTCGGAATCTATTAAAAAAGACCTTTCAAATGATACCCCACACGACATTTTTGAGGAAAAACGTTTTGACCCCTCATTTGACCCATCAGAATGTTTGTAAATTTATAAAATGTCTTGCAACTTTTGAACGGTAAATGTGATTTTGATAAAATATTCGGCAAATTTGTACAAAATTTAATAGCCTATAAGATTGTCTAACATCATAATGCCCTACAGCTACTCTATATACTTTAAAATCCCAAATAAAATGAAAAATCCAAAGTCGATTTCATATTTGAATTGAGTTCGTCGAGACCTTTCAAATGATACCCCACACGACATATTTGAGGTAGAACGTTTTGATCCCTCATTTGATCCATCAGACTGTTTGTAAATTTATAAAATGTCTTGTAGCTTTTGAACGGTAAATCTGATTTTGATAAAATATTCGGCAAATTTGTACAAAATAAAATAATGTATAATACTGTCTAACATCATAATGCCCTACAGCTACTCTATATACTTCAAAATCCTAATTTTAATGAAAATTCGAAAGTCAATTTTATATTTGAATTCAGTTCGTCGAGACCTTTCAAATGATACCCAACACGACATATCTAAGTTAAAACGTTTTGACCCCTAATTTGATCCATCAAATTGTTTGTAAATTTATTAAATGTCTTGTAACTTTTGAACGGTTAGTCTGATTTTGATAAAATATTTGGCAAATTTGTACAAAATTAAATAATGTATAATACTGTCTAACATCATGATGCCCTACAGCAACTCTATATACTTTAAAATTCTAATAAATATTAAAAATCCAAAGTCAATTTTATATATTACAAATAGCAAATTGGATACCTACAAAAAATTTGAAGTAAAACTTTTTTAGATTCCTCTGCTACTACTTTGTGAAAATTGTATATGTTGTAGACAAGAATCATATAAAAACGTTAACGTCAAATATTAGGAAAAAAAGCAATACATTTTAACATTATAATATTTTTTGCATTATGTGTATAACGTTTTCATTACAATTTGATAATTTTTTTGCGAAAATCGTATTCTACTCATCGAGACCTTTCAAACGATACCCCACATGGCATAAAAATAGCCACCAAAAATTTTTGAAGTAAAACTTCTTTAAGCTCGTTTTCTATAAACTCACTAAATATTAAATGCCTGTATCGCAATTCTTATTGATTGAGTTGGTTATTTACACGTATCGGGGGAAGTTTATGCAACTTGCCTTGAGGCCAAATGCCACTTACAACTAGTTCTCTGTTTTATTTACCAATTCATGGTGACAAGATCTCCGAACCACAAATGTGCCAATTCGTGAATAACGGTTCCTGATATTGACGATTTCCAAACTGTTGGAGTTTCATTTTTGTTGAATATCATAGACATATCTCTGTAATGAAATATATATAAAGTGAATGCTATAGCATTCACTTTTAGTGGGATGTAGAATGGCGTGAATGCTATAGCATCCAAATTTTGAGGACAATTACTTGGAATTTACATTACGTTTTTGTAATTATCAAACTTGTTAAGGAGGTGCCTAATTGATTATTTAAGTATTTTCGTATTAGTTACTAATTTGCTGCATACAATACAATTTGGCCAAGAAATTGCGAAAAATACAAAGGCAATACTTGACGTGGATGCTATAGCATTCATCTAGTATACAATTATTAAAATGTGACATTCTGACTAATTACACTTTTATTGGGCACGAACGTGCAAGGTTACTTCTCAGTTGAAAATGCATCATTTTCCATAGTCACTAATTTGACGTGGATGCTATAGCATTCATCTAGTATATATCGATTAAAATATCATAATAGTATTTCTGTATTATCTTGGCTATTCTAGTAGTTACTAATTACCTTGGATCATTCAAATTGTGGGAAATAGAAGCACAAAACTTGTCGTGGATGCTATAGCATTCATCTAATATATAACAATTAAAATACGATGATAGTATTTTCGTATTATCTTATCTTTTCCGTAATACTTGACGTGGATGCTGTGGCATTGATCTAAGTTTATAACGATTAAAATATGATAATAGTATTTTCGTATTATCTTATCTTTGCCCGAAGTCACTAATGCGCAAGCGGAAAATAGAAGCTTAATCCTTGACGTGGATGCTATAGCATTCATCTAGTATATATCGATTAAAATATGATAATAGAATTTTTGTATTATCTTATCTTTTCCCTTAGTCACTAACTATCTTGGGTATACAAATTACGGGAAATAGAAGCACAAAACTTGACGTGGATGCTATAGCATTCATCTATTATATAACGATTGAAATTTTATAATCTGACCTTTATTAAATCAAATTTTGGATATCACAAACATTTTAAAAATAAAATTACTGGAAATTTTGGTACCTTGCTGAAACTTTTACCAATTTTTTTTTATAAATTATAATTTTTTACCCAAATGAAATGTGTCCCCAATTCTCCATGGCACCACTCGCAAAATTTTTGGTAACCACCAAATCCAATTTTGGCAACGAATAAGGTTCGTCAAAAAGTTTCGAAAAAATATCTAAACCTTTTACTGCCACTTCAAGGCCGAATTGACCATATTTTTTCATCCCTGGGGGCGTATAGACCCTTACCTGCAAAAAAAATTGAGGAAATTTAAATGTTTTCAAATAGATTATTATGAATACTGTAATTTTTGTTATTCGTATTTTATAGACAAAATGTAAGAGCTTATGAATTGCACGACCATGTTTAAGTATGTTTACATAAATAAACAAAACTTGATAAAGCGAAGTTAGAATGTAAGGACCTTATCTCATATTTCTCAGAATTATATAAACTAAATTGCAAAGTTAAAATTATTTATTTCAAGTATATAAGTGAGCTTTAGAATTTTAGCTAGATTTAAAATTAAATTCCAAAAACCATTTTTGTATATATTTTTTTAATTATAATTACCTTAGTACCACTTCTGTTTGACTTTCAATATACTCAAACTCTCCGACCGAAAATGCCAGTAAATAAGTTGACATTTTAGGGGTTGTGTTGAAACAAACAGTTTTGCAACCACATTTTACCTAAAACATATAATTTTTAAGTACTAAAACTAGTTGTAAGTGGCATTTTGCCTTGAGGAAAGTTGCATGGACGTTCTGATCAAAAAGAATCAAGATTCAGATATTCAATATACGCTTTTAACGAGTTTCTAGTAAACGAGCTTAAAGAAGTTTTACTTCAAAAATTTTTTATGGTTACTTTTATGGCATGTTGGGTATCGTTTGAAAGGTCTCGACGAGTAGAATGCGATTTTTATGAAAAATGATTATGTTGTAATAAAAAAGTTATATACATATTGCAAAAAATATTAGAATGTTAATTTTATTGTTTTTTTTCTTAATAATTGAGGTATAAAACTGTTTTATGTTATTTGTGTCCACAAAATGTACACTTTTCACAATTTGTAGCATAGGAGTCTAAAGAAGTTTTACTTCAAAAATTTTTGTTGGCACTTTCATGGCATGTGGGGTATCGTTTGAAAGGTCTCAATGAGTAGAATGCGATTTTTACAAAAAAATGATTATATTGTAATAAAAACGTTATATACATAATGCAAAAATTTTAGAATATTAAAATTTATTGATTTTTTCTTAATAATCAAGGTTTAAAATTTGTTTATGCAATTTGTGTTCACAAATATACTCTTTTTACAAATTTGTAGTAGACGAGCTTAAAGAAGTTTTACTTCAAATTTTCTTGATGGTCACTTTTATGGCATGTGGGATATCATTTGAAAGGTCTCGACTAGTAGAAAACGATTTTTGATAAATTAGGTAATTATACTAAATCATTCTTTATAGTGTGCACGCGAAAATCTCTGTTTGGAAGTAATTTATCTTTTATCAAGTTAGGTGTAAGTGGCATTTGGCCTTAAGGCAAGTCACCTCTTCTTCTCGGACATCCATATTAGACAAGGCCATCAAATTTTCAGGAACTTTCATAACAATGTCAAAAGTTGCCTTCAAAGCCGGTTCATCAAAACAAGGAAAAGCTTCACGAGCCCTGTTGGGCTCAAAATGACTTATGACGTATGTTTTCGTCCTAAGGGAAAAAATATTTAATAAAATAAAAAAACTGAATTCATGGTGCAGTAAATTAAACTATGTTACATGGCGTTTTCTCATATAAATGGTACTAAAAACTTGCAAAAGTTTCTGTGGTTGTATAAAATTTAAGTTTACTTATATGTTAATGACACATCACAAAGATGCACTTATAATAAGATTTTTTTTTGACATTAGTGTATTTTTTGTGTTAGATTTTCTATCCAAAGCGCCTGCCTGTACAATAACCACATCGCATTCGAACAGTTTTTAGTGCTATTTTATATGAAAAACGCAGCGTAACTTTGGTCTATTTTACGACAGACTTGGCTCCGCAATATTTTTCATTTATTACCCTTTGCAAGTATCAAATGTTGATTTGCAAATTGCTGAAATTTCGTGAAATTCTCTGCCAAATTCTAGGATCAAACATGCATTTCCTTTGGGAATGCATTTTTTGAATTGTATAGTTGCTCTTTCGTCTTTTTCTTGGAAGGATATATTGTCCGAACACTCCTTTCCTTAAAAATAATAATTTAATTAATAAATTATTAGTAATAAATTATTTATTTGATAATTTACCATTGCAGTGGCTTATTGTTGCTTTTTTGATATTTATTCCTAGACAACTTAGGATCACACAGTTTGTTTGCTGTTTTATCTGTAAAATTAAAAAAAATAAAAAATAAAAATGGATAACAGTTTTTTTTTGCGTATGAAATTCAAGTCATTGCACTTCTTTATAACATTTTTGTTATAAATAATTATAAAAAATCCTTCACAGATACGTCTTTTGAATAAATTTCCTTCAAAATGTGACTGAAAAATCTATATTGTGTTTTAAAGTGATTTTGCGAACTGTTTTGTGTTATTGAAGTCGTTTGATTAAATTTTGGCAAGTATCTCCGATATAAGTTGAACTGCAATTCAAACAATTAATTTGGTAAAGCAGATTTTTTAAACTTTTTATTTATAGATGTTTTTGTAAAAGATCTTCATATATAAATAAACTTGTGATAAATAAATAGTGATTTGTAATTCTTTATGGTTATCAGATATCGAATTACCTATTAATGTGCATCATTGATTTATTATACCAAAAATAAAGTAGTTTTGAGCTTATTTTTGGTACAACATTTAAGAAGGATTATCAAATGTATAAATATTATTACCTTCAAGTTAATTGTAACTTTTCCTGTATAACCAGAAACACTTGGATCTAAATCCAATTCCAAAACATAATGTTCAGGTACAACATTTGTCGAAAGTCTTTCTGACTCTTCAGCCATTTTTGAGATGCAATTTTATTTTCAAGGAATCGAGATTAACATTTTCAAAAAATAAGTTTAAGTAAAATTAAAATCATTTGTTGTTGAAGAGATTTATTTTCTGTAGTTCACAAAAATTTTGAAAATTTCATTTTTGTGAATTGTATTTACGTCAAAGTGACAACTTTACGTCAAATTTTTAATGTCATAATAAATTCAGGACAGAAATTGAAAAAATAATTGTCAAACAAATAATTGTTTTTAGGTTGCTCGTCAGTAGAGTCCCTTCCTTATAAAAATAATTCCTACTCATTTTTTGTATAAATATTTAATTTTTTTTTTAATTTAGGTTGCTCGTCAGTAGAGTCCTTTTTCTGCATAAATATTTTCTAAGGAGTTCTAGTTTGCTCGTCAGTAGAGTCTCTTTTTTATAAAAATATTTCTAAAGAAATTTTAGTTTGCTCGTCAGTAGAGCCCTTTTTCTGCAAAAACATGTTCTTAGAAATTACATTATCGTTTGCTTGCCAGAAGAGTTTCATTGAAAATTCTCGACGAAAATTTATATCCGTACTCATGCACACACACATCTATCCATTTTTTCTAATGTTTGCCAAAATGTTCAAAAACGTAAATATATGCATAGTTATTTACTATATATTAAACTTATTATAATGAAAAACTTGCTAATATTGAACGTTTATAAACATATGTAAAATATTTTTTGTAAAACCAATTCACTTCTTTACAGCCTCATACATTAAAAAAAATTATAATATTTGCTTTGAGGCTCAATTTTCATTTCTTCTTAAAATATTTCGCAAGTCCTTCGTAGTGTTTCTTAACAGCCTTTGACCTTGCTCGAATTGCTTCAACTGCTGCAGCAATTGCAGCTGCTGCTTCAGGCATCGGATTTTCCTTAAAATGTTCCTCGATTTCATTTGCTTTTGAACCACATGCGTATTTACTAATTAATGTTGATACTATTATTCCTGCAAAAAAGAAAAAGAACAATAATAAACTATTGGTATGGCATCGTGTCTTAAGGCAAATTGCTGGAACTTTTCGCACCGTAATGAAATATTCGAGAAATTTTAAACATTTTCAAATATATTATTACAAATACTGTAACATTCACTATTTTTGCTATCTCGTTGTATCTGAGCAAATCATATGTAAATTATAAATCAATTTATCTCCAGAACATTAACAATCGTCATTTCATTTCGAATTCAATTTCAAAAAAAATAGCTGCCTAATTTACACAAAATTGAAAAAGTGCTCCCGTATAGTTACAGTCTAAACGCATTTACAAATAAATCTGTGTGATATTTTCACTTGTACTGTGCTTAGCTTGGCGGCATTTTCACATTTTTCAATAGTTTTCACATAAATTGAAAAAGTGCTCCAGTCTAAACGCACTTGAGTAAACATTTGCACCAGAGTAGCGCTTAGACTGTGCTTAGCCTGGGTAATTTTTTGAATTTTTAATCTAAAATTACAAAAATATTTTATGGAAAATACAAAAGGATGTTATAATTTTTTATCCTCAAAAGGAATTGTTTTGTCAATACAAGCAGAACGTTTTTTAGATCATTCAAATCGGACGCTTAGATCACTCAAAAACTGCCATTTTTTTCCACATTTAGCTCTGTATCTTCGAAATGGCGGAACCTGTCTTTGCGAAAAACTAATCACCTCTTCTTCTAATCATTACAAATTGAATGTTTTTTAGATCATTCATATCCGATACTCCGTTTTCTCAAAAACTTGATTTGTATTTTCTGCACTCTTTGCTTTGTATCTCCGTAACGGCTGGACCTGCCATTGCCAAAAACTAATCAGCACATCTCCCTATCAATAGGAATCGAATGTTTTTTAAACCATTCAAATCGGTTGATCCGTGCGCCCGAAAACGTGAACGAAAAAATGCGGACATACAAAACACACACACGCACATCAATTTTTTCTGAGGTATGCCAAAATGTTCAGAAACCTTCGAAACGTCGAGAAGTGAAAAATTTTTCATTCACATAATTACCCTACGAGTGTCGCCGCTCTATGGAGTGCAAAAACAAATAAAATTGCAATAACTTCTTTATCTTTTATAAGTTACTTACCTAATCGGTTCTGGCCCTTATAGGTTTCAGCAATTTTTTGCTGGTTGTCCTTTAAAAATTTCCAGGACTGACTACGTCCACTTGGTGTTTTTGTGATGTTATTAAGAATAATTGGAACTACAAAAGCCTCAACTTTACCACTGATGACGTAATCCAGGACTTTTTGAATCACTTCTTCATTTTGGGCATATCCAAGGGATACTTGGATTCTAGAAATAGATATATATGGATTAATAATTGGCAAAATTTGGTTTGGTTTGGTTTGTATACTACCTTAGCTGTGTCAAAAACGATTTTGCCTGATCTTGCAATTTGAGAACTTTTTGAAATGTGCCAACATCAGCTTCTTTCATGACTGTCATCAGGGATATAAGAAATATATCAGGGGCCAGTTGGCGCTTTCCACTTATGTGGTCACAGAATCTGAAAAGAATAATTATTCATATATATATATATATATATATATATATATATATATATATATATCTTATATATAAAAATGGAGCTGTGATCAAATGATTCGGTAAAACTCGAAAATGATTAAACCGATTTGGCCAGTCTTAGTCTTGAAAAATTCGTGCCAATCCAGAGTTGGTCGGAAAAGTGAGATATTATTTCAAAATCGCATAGAAACTTTACATTTCTAATTTGAAAATTTTTGTAGAAGCGTAATTTAAATAAAACAATGGAAGGCGGCTAATACGTCAAATGTCAAACGTTTTTGACCGATGATGTTCAATTACTTTTAATAGGATGTTTTATGTGAATATTATCTAATTATGATTAAATTGTAGTAAGTAGTTTTGTTTGTAGCTTTATTCATATACAAAAACGTTAGTAAACGGGCCGCAAAGTGTTGATAGAAACTCAAAGTATTAACTTTTTTGAAATGTTAATATGAAAATGCACTTTTTGGCATATTTTTCTCAAACACGGCGCTCTGAAGGATCTCATTTGTATAATTATATACTCATTGGTATTTATAAAACATTTGCTAGATTATATTATTTTTTATTTATGTTATTTAAATTCAGAACCTAAATTTGGTATCGATCAAAGGGACATTTTGTCGAATAACATTTTCCCAGTTATAATTTCCCAGAATTTATCGAAGAATAGAAAGTAATATATGAAGGTCCGGGGTCAAAAAGGTCCACCACCGATGTGTCAAAAATCAGTAAGGTTAAGCATTGTCTAACAACAATATTTGAAGGTAGAGGGAAAAAGATGTATAACCAGCTATAACCTAGATTTGAAAACGGTAATCTTTGAAATGAGGGAGATAAATGGTAATCTTTGAAAATCCATAATAAAAGTAATTTCTTCCATTGGTTTTTTGGCATTGGTTAAAAATGTAATTATTTTTTAAAATACGTTTAAAATTATAATAAACCACCTGCCCGTTTCAAGAGACCCCGCCTATAGGGTAAAAAGGTCTAGTTAAAACATTTTTGAAAAACATAAAAAAGCACATTTCTACAATGATGAAGTGGCTGGCAGTTTTCCTGAACGTAGTCAGATAATTGTTCGTTTGAAATGTGTTATTTGTTGTGATATAATTGGTTTGGTTCTTAAAATATATTTAATATTTGCTCAAAGTCAAATTGGACCTTTGTGCCTCGCCCTACTCTACATATATACTTTTATTAAATTTACTTTAATTCATAGAATGTTACTCGAAACTTTTCAAAAAGCAAGTCAAAGAAGAAATACTTAATTCATTTTCTAAATCCCCTCGCAGAAATTTGAAAATTTTGTATAAGCTCAGTAGTATGATTTACAATTATACACAAAATGCAGAATCAAAAAGAATCTGAAAAACTTGAAACGTAATCAATAAGTCGAAAGACCAAAAAAGACTTGGATTAGATCATACTATGTTTTCTATAGAAAGTGTTTAAATCTTCCAGTTTGATTGTAATGACAAAATATAGACAAACTAATGGGGGCTTTATTGTTTTTATAATACCTCATTGTATATGACATTCAAACAACACATCCTTCTACACTTAAAGTGTTAATATTTTTGATTCTCTAGAAATTGTTTAGAATATACCTTACTTAGCAAAACAACGTTTGCCGGGTCAGCTAGTATATATACTACCCTTACCTCCGTTTTCCTTCCTGAATAGTTTCCTCGTCCTCAAATTCGACCAAAAGTTGCAAAATCGCATTTTTCAGACAAGCACTCGCCTGGTCGCAAGTCGGCGAATCGAAACAAACTTTTTTCCTGATTTTGCAACATAAATTCAGCACGAAATCCCTAAATTCGCACTTTAGATCCGTATATGAAATTATGCTGCCTACTTTGCCCAAAATAGTTGAAATCGACTTCCAAACATTGTTGTTGTCTTCGTTTTGGAAGACGCATAAAAATTTCAAAAACTAGAAAAAAATAGGTGGAAGTGGTATTTAGTAGGGTTTATACAAAAACCGACATTTCAGAAAACCGGATTTCGAATTTTAATTTTACTAAAAAAACGGTTTTCGAATTTTATATAAAAAATCAATTTTTGCTCGAATATTCTGTAATTTATCCGCAAATTTAGTGTGATTCGGAGCAGTATTTATCTGAATTTATCTATTGTTCAATTTTATACATAGTAAACAAATTTATTTTAATTTTAATTAGTAGAACTAAAAAATAATAGTTTATCTTGATTAAATAACTTTGAAAATAACTATTCGTTTTTCATGCATCATTTTCACATGTAAGAATGAAAATATTGTTATGACAGTGAAAGTAAAGTTTTAGAATAAATAAAAATAATACATTTTTAAATAAAAAAAATGCGTTAAATTAAAAAAAATGTATATGTTGATACATACTTGTTAATATCAAGTTTAGTTTTAAAAACAATTAAGCTAAACTCGGCGGTTATTGTCTATTCCGAGTAATTTTAA